GAATATTTAGAACAAATGGTTTCAATAGATTCTTTCTCTTCATTGTTTAAATGATTAAGTTCTAATAAAGGTAACAAAGATTTAGCCCTATTGGAGCTACATTGACCAAAAAATTTAAAAATGTTATACTCTCTCAAAGGTTCCACATCTAAAGTAAAATTGTTTAATCTTATTTCCTCATCTCTAGTATTTAAAATCTTAATTGGAACGCCTTTATTTTTCGGTTGAACAATAGTTCCTGTCAAAAATACATCCTTTTCTATCTCTCTCGCGCACACAAAACAATCCTCTTCCACTTCCTTATTCAAATACACATAATGTATAGACTCATTTCGAGGTGCGAGTACTAACGAGTTGCTATAATCAGGTTTATCAAAAATCGGTAAAATACAATGCTTACCATCAATTTGCAGCGTCAGTAAATTATTTTCTAAATCTATTTTAGCCTTATATCTAGTAATAAAATCTAATCCTAATATTCCATCAACGGCGATAGGTAAATTCTTGAAACTATAAAACTTGTAAATTTTTTCATTAATTTGTTTCAGAACTGTACTTTTAGTAACGTCACCCTCAGCCTGTGAAATATTCAAATCGGTTAATAGTTTTTCAAGTTGAGATCTACGGATCTACGGAACAATACGTTGTTAGTAGTAGTTGTAGTCCTATAGCCCTGATTCAGAGACTGTATCTGATTATGTATTGCAGTGAAAAATTTTTTTGTCAATAACTTATTACGAAAATCTTGAATCATCAAGTCTACTGAAGTATAAGAATTGGATACGCGCAACTTAGCATTTTCTGATAGCCCGCCCTTGAGAACAAATTTAATTAAAAGTTGCTGGCCTTCACTACTAAGCATGTCTGCATACATTTCCACAGCATCAATCAATCGTTTCGTAGTATCTTCCCTATCATCTAAAAGAGGTATCAAGCTACAAGCAGTTATCAAATCAAAATCCATCTTTTCTGATTTCATCTCTAAGCTGGGTGAAACACACAATTTCGCTATTTCTGCAAATAAAGAACAAATTTTGTCATATGTTTCAGTAATTAAAGATATTTCCGACTTATCCTTAATATTACTTAATGTAGAAAATATATCTTTACTATTATTTAAATATATCTCGGCTTCATTCAACTTATTTAACGCAATAGAACCTTTATACCTACTTTGTCCCTTTTTAATCAAATATTTCCTTATTTCTGACAATTGCTCATAATCTTATTTTCTCAGCCATAATACCATCAATTTCATATAGAAGCTAAAGTTAACTTGCACTCGGTTCATATTTCATTGAATTGATTTTAATTTTATTCTAAAACGAAGCACAGTCATACAGTGTACCGATTACAAATGCTGAATTGCATCTCGACCGATCGCAGCGGTTGGAATTCTTAGAACTAACACATTTTTTAAAACTATTTTAAATGTTATAGAGAAACAAAATTAAACATGCTACCTAAATTTAACATAATTTTCGAAAAGAAGTTTATAAAATTACCAATGTCACTATAATAATTGTCACGTAAAAAAAAAAGGTTTGACTCACTCTCGTAAAATCTAAACGGAAATGCACTTTTTAGGAACTGCACTAATATAAAACACACCACGGTTTCACACTGCTTGACTGCTCATGCGCAGAGTCCAAAAACAGGCGTCGTCATGTGGATATACGGCGTAGGGGCACTCGGAGAAGTCAAGGATCGCTCACTTATGTCCAGGGTCCAGTACAGGGGTAGGCCGGTTACGTGGATATATGGTGTAGAGGCACTCGGAGAAAGTAAGGCAACACAAATTTACACATCTTTTTCATTACGCGGTTCACGTCTGTTAGACAGTCTAGTGCGCATTCTTCTTAAAAATTCCGCATTAATTTTCTTTTCTACCCATTTCTTTCAGCTTCAAAAATATGATAACAAACAGGACGATTGATGCCAAAATTAAAAATGTTGTGATCAATATATTGTTAATCTTTATATGATAATCCTTTTCTTCTATTTCCACAGTATTGGTTCCTCCAGTTTGGGCAACCGTCGTTTCATTTTCTTTGTTTTTCGAATTACTATTCCCTATTTTGTTTTTTGGCACGAACACGCGCATACACAGTCACAAAGTTAATAATTATATTCTTATTCATTATAATTACCTAGTTGCATTCACTGCCGAGGCACAGGAATGTGCAAAGTCCGCACTTTTAGCCTGCAACCGGACACGCGCGCTTGGCATGGGTCACCATGAATTATGTTATTTAACGGTGGTAGAGCCACGCAGCAGTTTTGCTGTTGCACGTATGGGCCGGCTCGAGCCGGGTTGGTACCACGACCTCACAGAATACCGGCGTGAAGTAGAGGCCCTGCTTCTGCGTTTCGTCTGGTGAGTGCAGGTGGCCGGAGGCCCAATTCCTCCCCCCCCCCATCAACATGGTAGCGGAATTACACGATAGACTACCCCAGGAAGGTACCAGTACCCCTGGAGAATCGCTCGCTGAGCATCCACGACCATGTTATTCCAATCCTGAGCGTGGGTGCTCAGGCTGCCCCGCGTATTCTGGGCAAAATTGGCAAAATTCCGCCCAAAAACATAACTGCTCGGGGCTAACTGAGCAACAATACCAAGGCGACCCCTGCCACGCTATCCGTGAATTTCTGCAACATCAGGGGACTTCACTCTAACCTAAACGCCATCCACTACCATATTGAGACGGCGAAGCCGGCCTTGCTCTTTCTGACTGAGACGCAGGTTTCCTCTCCGGCTGATATTTCGTATCTCTCCTACCCAAGGTACAAATTGGAGCACTCCTTTGTGCCTCGGGCTGGAGTTTGCGTGTATGTCAGAGAGGACATCTGTTCTCGACGCCTCGGCAGTCTTGAAGGTTCGGACCTGTCCATCCTTTGGCTACGCGTAGACAGCGACGACCATCCGCGCGTCTACGGGTGCCTCTATAGGTCCCATAGCGGTAATGCCGAAACAGACCGACTCATCGACCACGTCCAAATGGCTACAGATTCCTTGCTACAACAGGTCCCATCCGCAGAGATCGTGATCCTTGGCGATTTTAACGTTTAACCGATCATGCGGGGAGATCTGTTTAAGACTTTGTCTTGGCATATGGTCTGACGCAACTGGTTACTTCGCCTACGCGGATTCCAGATGTGGATGATCATACACCTTCCCTGTTGGACCTTCTGCTGACCACTCATCCGGACGGATATCAGGTTTCCGTCGATGCCCCTCTCGGCTCTTCGGACCATTGTCTGATCCGGAGTGTGGTGCCACTCACGCTCCCTTCGCGGTTGCGTTCTGCAGGTTGCCGCCGTGTTTGGCATTACAGGTCGGCGGATTGGGACGGAATGCGGTCTTTCTTTGCATCCTATCCATGGGGGCAGGTTTGCTTCTCGCCGGATGATCCCAGCGCTGTTGCTGACTCTGTCACTGATGTGGTGCTACAGGGAATGGAACTATTTATTCCATCATCTGTGGTACCCATCGGAGGCAGATCTCAGCCTTGGTTTGGTCGCTCCTGTAAGACTGCATTACGCAGTAAGCAGGAGTGTTATCAAGCCTGGGCTGCGGCTTCGGCGACTCGGGATGTAAGCACCAGCACACTTAAAAAGAAGTATAACTTCGCCTCCAGGTCCTTCAAAAGAGTTATTGCCAGGGCAAAGTCAGAGCACATAGGCAGAATTGGCGAGAAACTAGTTCGCCTTCCTTCGGGAACCCGTGCATTCTGGTCTCTCGCCAAGGCTGTCCAAGGGAATTTCTGTAAGCCATCACTACCATCTCTGCACAGGGAGGACGACTCACTAGCCGAAGACGCAAAAGACAAAGCTGACCTTTTAGGCTCCCTTTTTGCGTCCAACTCGACTCTTGATGACGGTGGGAAAACACCGCCGACCATTCCGCGGTGTGAGTGCTCCATGCCGGATGTGCTGTTCTCACAGCGCTCGGTTCGCAAAGCACTGCTCTCCTTGGACATCCAGAAGTCGAGTGGGCCTGACGGAATCCCCCCAATCGTGCTGAGGACGTGTGCTCCGGAGTTGGCACCGGTCCTAACGCGTCTTTTCCGGTACTCCTACTTCTCGGGAAAACGTCGCCGAGTACCGGAACAAACTTGTGTCTGAAGTCGAGTAATTGCTGAACAAAGTCTCAGATTGGGGGCGACTAAATCTAGTCCAGTTTAATCCTCAGAAGACACAAGTTTGCGCGTTTACCGCTAAAAAGAACCCCTTTGTCGAATCTCCTAAGTTTCAAGGCACTCCCCTTCTTGCCTCAGCCAGTATCGGTATCCTCGGAGTCGACATATCGAATGACGTGCAGTTTCGTGGTCACTTGGAAGAGAAGGCCAAATTGGCCTCTAAAAAGCTTGGCGTGCTCAGCAGAGCGGGACAGTATTTCATGCCGGCACACCGCCTGCAACTTTACAAGGCGCAGGTTCGGCCTCACATGAAATACTGTTCCCATCTCTGGGGAGGGGCTCCCCAGTGTCAGCTCCTTCCACTTGACCGCATCCAGCGCAGAGCGGCTCGAATCGTCGACGACCGAGCCCTTTCCGATCGGCTCGATTCATTGGCACTGCGAAGAGATGTTGCATCCCTTTGCATTTTCTTTCGCATCTACCATGGGGAGTGCTCTGAGGAATTGTTCGGATTAATCCCAGCCGCCAAATTCCACGAACGCACTTCGCGGCAGAACTTCCGATACCATCCACACCATCTGGATGATTGGCGGTCCACCACTGTGCGATTTAGAAGATGTTTTCTTCATCGCACGACTTCCTTGTGGATTTTTCCGGACCGATACGACTTAGGGACCTTCAAGAAAAGAGCGTACTCCTTTTTAAAAGGCCGGCAATGCATCTGCAATTTCCTCCCTGGTGTTGCAGTTGTTCATGGGCGGCGGTAGTCACTTACCATCAGGTGAGCCGCATGCTCGTTTGCCCCCTCTCCTATAAAAAAAAATGTTATTAATAATGGAATGAAAGATTAACACGTTTGTTCAACTCGAGTGTTTATTTAATACTGCTTACTTTCTAATACATCGAATATCACCTACAAGTACATAGGTTACTTCAATACCATCTATAGAATCTGTTTGAACTTTGTTTGTTAGCCATAGCAAAATATACGCAAGTGGTAATCCTCTTTTTAGCCATTCTACACTATAAATAAAAGCCTTAGTTGTGCCAAAAATATATGTTTTTGTCAATAAGTCCATCATTGTCTTGAGTTTTAAATGAAAAACTCTTGAAACCAAATCCTGTCTATCTTGTGATTTGGAAATAACTCAATATTTATTTCTTTCCATTCTGGATTGCAGGTGAAGGTGATTTTGGTCTCCCAAAGTTTCTAACATATGTCATTGCGTCTTGGTTCTTTTCATTCATATATCGCGGAGATCCTGTAAATGAAGACGGTAATATCACATACTGACCAATATTAGGCGCATTAACACTTACATTATTGGCAACTGCATCTCGCAGGTGTATACATATATTCATCAGCCCTCATTTTTTTTTATTTCTCCTGATAAAATCAAGTCTTTCAGATATCATTTTACCGCCATATCAACAAAATATTGATTCAAAATCCTCTGAAATAATGCAGACTGTTCATATCATCTGTTCTGTAAGCCTGAATGCATAAAATTGCATACATGATACTGTCTTAGGTCGTGCAACATCGTTTTGTTGGTACTTACATGCGACAATATTTATTAAAATAAGTATTTACAAGTAAAAGTAAAGTAAAGTAAAGCAATCATAAACTTAATTTTTTATGACACTAAATATGTAAACAGACCTATACAGACAAAAGAAAACAAAAAAGAAATTTTAATTACACACCTCCCCACGTACTTCGTAATTAACTACGAATTTAACAAAATAATTATCTACTATAAGAAGCGGAAAAAAGAATGAAGCTATACCATGTACATATCCTATTTTTTTTATAGGATAGGGTGACAAACGAGCATACAGTCCACCTGATGGTAAGTGGTTGTTGTGACCCATAGATATCCACATCTATCCTCAATAAAGAATCATAATGCAGATGCGTTGTCACTCGTGAGGGCTAAGATAGAATACCTCTTTTCCAGTAAAAAAGGGTCTCCGGATCTCTACACTCACCATACGAAACACAGCAGCATTAATATTTTTTTTTATTTATTTCTCCCACTTTTTACATAGTTACATTTCTTACATAAATAGTTTAAGAGTTTTAAGTTGTTGTTGTGGCATTAACCTGCTATTTTACGCTGGCATTGTGTGAGAGTGTAGTCCTTCCCCAGCGTTACAACTACACTATTAATATAAAAAGTGAACGCAAGTAAGACGAAAGTGATGGTTTTTGAAAGAGAAGAAAGTAAAACGATATGTGAAATAAGAATAGAAGAGGAGTTAGTCGAGCAAGTAGATGAGTTTGTGTATTTGGGTTGTGTATTTAGCAGGGATGGTAAATATGATAAGGATATAGAACGACGATTGAACCCAGGAAATAGAGTGAATGGGGCTACACCCTGCTGAGAGAAGTCAGAATATGTCCAAAAAGGCACGTATGGAAATTCACGATGCTGTGTTAGTCCCTACTTTAATGTATGGTAGTGAAAATTGGGTGTGGCAGAAGAAACACGAGAGTAGAATAAATGCTGTAGAAATGCGCACATTAAGGAGTATGTTAGGGATAAATCTGAATGACAGAGTGAGAAATTGTGTGATAAGAGAAGAGTGTGGTTTGCAAGATGATGTTGTGACCAGTATTAAGAAAGGAATGTTTCGGTGGTTTGGTCATGTAGAAAGAAGAAGGAAAGAGTGATAGCAAATTTATGTTGCAGAGGTGAACGGCAGAGTCGGGAAGGGACGCTCTAGGCGAAAGTTTATCGACCAAATTTTGGATATATATGAAAATGGACAAGGTCAAGAGTACCTTTAACCGACGAGCGTGTATGCGTAGGTATATGGATGTGGAGGAAGCGAGAGAGGTGTGTCAGGATCGTGCCAAATAGAAGTCCATAGTCTCTGCCTACCCCTCTGGGTGACAGGCGTGAGTGTTTATGTAATATAGCTGCAGCATGGCTTTACCACGTTAAAAAAAAATTTTTATAAACCTATGAGACAAAACAAAACGATTATGCATCAATCAAAAAAGAAATTTTAATTGTAGAAGTGGAAAGACGAAAGATTATATATCTACATACCATAAATATACCCTAAGCTTATTTTAATAAATCTATGAGACAAAACAAAACAATCATGAATCAATCAACCAGTGCCTTCTACTACTACCGTAATAACCTACTTATTACTAACCAACAAAGAGAAAATAATTAAGTATCATAATTATTTATAAATTAACCTTTCAGAACGACAATTCTTTATTAAATTAACATATTTCCTAAGTACATACTCAATTACCAAAAAGTAAAATTCAAATTATTCAATGATAGGTGCACAAACAGATAACGTCAAACTCTGTGCAAGCGCGCCTAAGGGTATTAGTGTTCTGTGGTGCAAGCCACATCAGCTGTACTCTGTAACGAAAATAGGCGTTCATGCATAGATAGTATTAAACACTATCATAGATATAGTATATACTCCAGTGGATTTTAATACTATATCTATGAACACTATGCGTAAGCATCATATTAGTCTGTGATCTATGCGTTCATGCATCTAAACCGCATAGGGTTGCCAGATGGTCGGGATTCATCTGGATTCTCCCGACATTTCAAATGATCTCCAGACTCCCGACAAAACTCAAAATCTCCATACAAACAGCTTCTCAGGAAGTTAACGTATGGCCTTTAATTTTAATAAAAGTTGAGTTAGTAATTAGACTGAACTTTGAAGTAAATTGTTTGAATATTACATCTTTTCTGTATAGTACTAGAGGATCCAAATTGGTGGACTCTAGTAAACTCCAATGTCAAATACATGTGGCAACCTTAAAATTAAGTGTACTTAAATTATTTTTTAAAGTATTTTTGTAGCCTCTTAAGGGGGGTTACTCCATGCGAATGACCTTGAGCATTTGGTCCGCCGCGCCAACTCGCTACAATATATCGCGTAAGAAATATGCAAGACGCCACCTACTGTACGAACGTAGTATTATTTTTTCAACATTAATAAACTATTTTATGGAAATACACACGGCGTACAATGGAAATACACATGGTGTTTTGAGGCGGTGGTTAAGGTTGCAAGATCTGATGGAGTGCCTAAGGTGGCCTAGTTTGGTTGTAGATTCGGTTTTGCAACGTGCCGTCGCGACCCTGTCCCGCTTGCCGGTTTTGCTCGCGGACATAAGTCCTTATGTCCGGGACGGGGGTTTGTTTGTTTGTTTTTGTCTAGTTTTTCAGTTTTTGTGCGCGTTACTTCACTACTTAAATTGTGTTTCGTGAAGACCGCCTCGGATTAGGTTGTCCAAGTATTGCTGTGAGTCTACTCGGGCCGCGTGATCACGTACATAATAACCTCTGATTGTGTCGCTTTTGTTAGCAAATTTATGCAACGACGAGAAGTTATGGAGTCTAGAAAATTAGACGCCGGGTTGATTTATTGTTTGGAAGTTAATGTTTAATTGTACCGTTGCGTTAAGTGCCTTAGAAGGTCGCGTTCGGTTCTTGAAATAATTTGTTGCTGAGTGAACGGAAGTAAACTTTGACCCACCGTTCATCAGTCGTGCCGCGTGTTACGTTTCTGATTATAATTAACGGGATTTAGTTGAGTTTTGAAGTTAGTTAAATGTACAATAAAGTTCATAGACTGACATAGTGAATTGAAGCAAGAAATTGTCCATTGGTGACGCCGCTGGAGAATATCACAACGTGGGGCGGTACCGGAGTCAGGGTTGCTGCCGACTAAAAGGGTTAAGTCAGGCCCCACATATATAAACACACCACTAAACACCACTTACAAACATTACACCTACCGCCTGACCGAGCCTTGTGTCCAGTCTTCGCCTCTGATCAGGTACGTACTATTTATTTACCTAGCCTTATCTATATCGTGTAGGTCAATTGTCCATAGGCCATTTGGGCCCCGTCCTTAGTTATCCGTCGAGTCTATAGCTGTATGGGCCCCTGTATAGTCGACCTTTGTCGGGACAGCTAGGGACGTGTACACCCATTCTCCATACAAAAAGTTCTTGATTTTCGATTAAACTGAAATTTTGCATTCACGTTTAGTTTAGATGATCCTCCGGTTCATAGATTTCCCGGCATCACAATTTTAGAAGATAAAGCTGTTTCTACATTACTCTCTTGAGTTACCTGGGTGACAGTGTGTTCGGAAATACCTAAAACAAAATAAAAATAATGGATTATACATTCATGATATTAATGACACAACTAAAATAGAATGAATCAAGAAAATTGGGGAGTTTTATTGTTATGGCAGCCCTAATAATTACTAGTCAAATATGCAACGCGGACTCTAACTTTGGAAAACGATACTGTAAGGCCATTATTGTCTCGTTCTTTTTCACAAGCACATTTAACCACGTTTGGCATATTCATAAAAATTATTTACTGCAGTAACGAATAAAAACACGGCACGTAACACACTGTTTTGACACCCGACATAAATATCATAGACTAACTAATAGATTCTACCCGAATATAAATATAAATAGTAAGATTGCAGCACACGATTAGTACCAATTTTGGCCGCGCATAGTCAGCTCGTTTAACACTTTAGTATTAAATAAAATATATAATAAAAAAATCAATAACCCGACTGCAAAACAGGCATTTTAAAAGTACCCAATGCACTAAAAAGACCGAAACAACATTGAGATTGAAAACACAATTAAAATAAACTATATACTAAGTAAACTCTACTTCGGCTTAAGGTGAAAGCGCCAGGTTAACCCGCGAAATTCAAATTTTCTTACGTTTTTTGCAATTTGTAGGTCAGTGTCAGGTTGTATGTTTAACAAAATATGATTCGCGACCGTAATGAGTATGTATTTACAGAATTATTATCATTATAATCATCAACACAACCGTCTACGTTCGTATAATCCCATTGTATGGCTATTTCCAGAAAACCTCATTCAAAGAGATTATATGAACTTAGAGGGTTGTATTGGTGATTTTAATGATAATAATTCTATAAACACATACTCGTTACGGTCGTGAATCATATTTTATTAAACATACAACCTGGCCCTGACCTGCAAATTCCAAAAAACGCAAGAAAATTTGAATTTCGCGGGTCACCCTGGAGCTTTCACCTTAACAGACTACGTACACTACGTACAACAGACGAGTATTTAACTTAAGCTCTCAGCTCATAATATAGTCTGTTAAACTGTAGTAGTAATTTTGTTTTCTATACTCAATTATGTTTCGGTATTTTTAGTGGATTACTTTTAAATAGTGTTTTAAGCAGTCGGGTTTTTTTTAAATTATTTATTTTATTTCATACTTTTTAGTGTCCCAGCACACTCTTATGAACTAAATTTCATATGATAGCACGAGGTCCCAACACAAACATTGCCCATTTTCACGCCATCAAAAACTTTTTAAATCAATTTATTATTCCTAATTAAATTTAAATTTATATATACTCCAAATTCATACTGGGGTGGGGCGGAGGGTGCTTATTTCTGCCGTGCCGGCCTGTTATTCAAAATCGGTTACAGTCGTGACATTTGCTATGCTTTTCTATTTTTCTATATTGTCATAAGGAATTTTCTTCTCACTTGCACATTATGTCAGTCTATTACCTTCTTATTAGTTTGTTGTCTATTACGAGTAGTATCCTAAGTCTACAGCTATAACGCAAAGACTATACGATAGTGTAGAGCGTGCATTATACATATAAATACCCATTTGCTGACAACATTAGTATTATTGTCCTGTAGCAACATTTTTCATTGAAGTTTCAGGCACGGTCAGCGCGTTTTTACGAAATATTATTTTTGAGAAAACTTAACATTAGTATTTACTAAAACTTTAGTTTAAAACTTTTTAATAACGTATAATTATTTGATGAGACTAAAGTACTATGGAATAGCAGAGTATTACAGAGTAGCTGTAATTTGTTGCAATGTAATTGTAAGAAAGTTGTAGGTAATTTTGAAATTTGATGCCAATCCTGTCTGTGAAAATAATTATTTCAGTAGCGATGCGGTAAGGATATCTTTTAATGTCTCTAAGATGAAAATTTGATCTTTAAAAACATAATGAAACTTATGAGAAATTGATACAAAACGTAAATATATAGATATTAAATTTATTTAAATCGTAGTGATATCTGAAATAAAAATGATTTGTATAAATTATATGTACAATATAATGTTCCAGTAATTATACTGTTTCTAGATCCGATATAGTTAAAATTCGATATTCAAAAAAGTTAATACCCACTCCTTAAAATGTTAATAATACGAAACGGATTTTTTAATGTTGCAATTTGTTTAGACGTATTATAATGTATGTATTCTGTTCCTGATTATGAAACGAAATTTTTCTAACGTGGTCCATAAAAGTAGTTATAAAAAAATAAATTGGAGTTTTTCATGTTCATGAGTGGGAGTAGCAGTAGTCATTTACCATCAGGTGAGATACATGAGCATTTGCCCTCTCGTGTATAAAAAATTAACTTAAATTATATATTTTTAAATTACTCTTAAAAATTAATTTATTAACTTACTATTCTACAACAAGAAGACAGATAAGGAATAATCAATTGAATCAAAATCTTACAATCCAGCTTAAATATCTGTCATGTTTTGTCATTAAAATAAAAACCCCAATAAAAACCTTGTGCAACCAAAATTTTTCTGAAATTTTGATTGCACAAGAACAATTTGTCTGAAAACCACCATCAGATATTTAATTAAAAAAAGATGATAGACCTATGTTCACCAGTGGACTTATGAAGGGTTGTATGATGATGATGATTAAAAAATACTCAATACCAACACATTTTCAATTTTGTAAATGTTTACAAAATATTATGAAAAAATTATAAATGCTTATAAACTTAGAAATGAGGATACCCACAGTAGAACCAGAGTGACCGATATAGCCCAATGGATTAGTAAGCTGAAGTGGCAATGGACTGGCCATATAAGCTCGAAGAACTGACAACCAATGGGGAAAAAAGGTTTTTGTGTGGCTTTCTCGTACTAGTAGGTAAAGTGTAGGGCTTCCCTGCACTAGATGGAGTGACGACCTGGTAAGAGATGTAGGAAATCGATGGATACAGGTGGCTATTTATGGCATTAATTGGGGGAGGCCTATGTTCAACAATCAACAGTGGACTTGTGAATGGCTGTAATGATGATGATGAAATAATCTTCAAAGACACATATTACTAAACCAAAATAAGAATGTTATATTTAAAAATATGATTTATTCACAACAAATACAAACATAAGTACAAACATAACTTTTATATTCCATAAACAAATTAGAAAATTGATATTTTGATAAGTGCAATAGACAATTTTTTCAGGGTTTTAAGAGGAAACAGAAATGCAGAAAAACAATGTGTTGACAAAGAGGCTTTTGAAAAAGATGTTCACTTTAAAATCCCAGACAACAGAACTGGGTGTGTTACCAGAAGTCGGAAAAAAATTCTAGATAGCTATCTAAATAATTTTATCATAATAGAGCTGTACAAATGTATGCCGTTCTTGGGTGATGAACAGAATATACCCAATTGGGAAATACATGCTGCACATTATTGTGTTATCTACGCAAATACAAATAATTATAAAGGGTAAATGTTGTCAAACTTAAATCTACAATATACAACTAGTCCAAATCAAAGACAAAACTGCTCACTTCGACATATTATTACTTAGAGATATATTTATTAATTACTTAAGCGAGAAAATATTTAAGAATATTACAACAGTATTAGAAAATAGTGTTACATTATATATATATATATATATATATATATATTTTAATTACAATTTTGTCTGTTTAATTGTCAAAATGGAAAAATACAATAAAAAATAAAAAGACAATATAATAAACAATTGTATAAAATACGAACTTATTTTACAACAAAGTACAAATTAGCTAATTAACAATAAGTCTACTTGTAGCACTATTTATCTAGCCACATTATGAGCCACTTACTCATTATCCAGTTGTATATTGTTGACCAACCATTTTAAGTGAAATATATTTAGAGCACATAAATAAAAACTTAATTAAAACTGTAAGTGTTTTTGATAAAACATACAGACAATATAATTGATAAAAATGCTAATTATTTTATTATGATGATTTATACAATGTTGAGCGTTGATCTATTACATTTGATTATATTATCATTTTTGAAACTGCAGTTATATTAGATGTTAAGTTATTCCATGTTGATATTTCATAGTTTTGTTACATAACATTTTATTCTGAGTTTATGACATTAAATATTACAAATATTTTGTCTTTTACTAAAACATCTTACTGCAAGAAATATTACTTCTCAGGCAATTTAACTCTGTTATAAAATGTTAGAATTTTAATCATATAAATATAATAATCCCAACCACTCGACATAGCCCAATGGATTAGTAAGCTGAAGTGGCAATGGGCTGGCCATATAGCTCGAAGAACTGATAACTGATTTGGAAAAAAGATTTTCAAGTGGTAGCCTCGTAACGGTAGGAGAAGGGTAGGCCGACCCCCCCACTAGATGAAGTACACACTAGGTGGACCTGGTAAAACATGCGGGAGGTCGATGGATGCAGGTGGCTTAGGACCATGCTTTGAGGCATTCCTTAGGGGAGGCCAATGTTCAGCAGTGGGCATGTGAAGGGCTGTAATGATGATGATGATGACGAAACATAATAAAAATTATGTAATTTAAATTGTTCCATAGCTTGTGAAGTAAAAATTCGAGGAAGCATTTTCTTTAAACTAAGTTCACCAAGTTCTACTTATTCTTTTCTTTGTTTTGTCTTTTGTCTGTCTCAGGAACAATACATTTTATAAATTAATTTTTCTTCCTAAATACCACAAGTTGATCAGCTATATTGTTATTCTAAGGCTAAAAATATTCTGTATATAATTATTATAGCTTCATACCAGCAAGTGGAGTGTAGGTCCCTCTCTAGATGAAGTGACAATCTGGTGAAATATGCACAAGTTGGCATAGAACCATGCTTTACTTTGAGAGAGTCCTATGTGTGGTAGTGGAATGATGATGATGATGTGACTATGAGAAGAAAGTATACTTCACAAGTAAGATAAGAGCAGAATCTTGCTAATAATAACTCGAAATAATAAAAAACTACGGTCGTCAACCTGCCTGCCAGGAGTATTAACTTTTTTTTTTATAGGATAGGGTGACAAACGAGCACACAGTCCACCTGATGTGATGGTAAGTGGTTGCTGTGACCCATCGACATCTACATCTATCCTCGCTTGCGAATCAAAAGCAGATGCGATGTCACCCGTGAGCACTAAGATGGAATGCCTCTTTTACAGTAAAAAGGGTCTCCGGTTCTCTACATTCACCATACAAAATACAGCAGTTTTAAGCTGCTAGTTTACGCTGGTATTCTGTGAGAGCCCACACTCTGACAGAAGCTCTCACAGAGCACGAATGGGTCGGCTCGACCGGGGAAGGACCACTCTTTCCCCGGTTGAGCCGACCCATTCGTGCTACAACTATACTACTAATATAGCTGCAGCATGGCTCTACCATGTATAAAACTATGGCAAAATCTCCCCTAAGAGGCAATCTATGATAGAGGTCTAGGTTCAGCAGTGGACTTTTGTAGGTTATAATGGATGGATACCGTCCGCCCATCAGAAGCCGTAAGATTTTTCTGGCATTTCCTACAGTCGCATTTTATGAAACCCGTGGAATTGAATGAGGTGATGGTTTCTCTAACGCTCCTCCACATAGTTTACAAGTCTATTCATACAACTTTAATTTCTAATAGCTGTTTCGTGTAGTGGCGGCGTTGGCACTACCCCATAGAATTCCACGGGTATCGTAAGTGGCGGCTGAAGTTAATGAAAGATAAAATGGGCGGCAGGCAACATCTTCACAGTTCATTTCTTTGTTGGAAGCTAAATGAAATCTAGAATGAAAGAAAATTTTATAAAACCACACTGCAGCTATATTATGGTTGTAGCACGAATGGGGTGGGCTCAATCAGGGTAGCAGCACATTAATGCTACTACTGTATTTCGTATGATAAGTGTAGAGAACAGAAGACCCTTTTAAATGGAAATGAGGCATTCCATCTTAGTCCTCAGAGGTGACAAAGCATCTGCATTTTGATTCTTAATTGAAGAAAAATGTATATGTTTATGGGCCACAGCATCCACTTTTCATCAGGTGGACAGTGTGCTTGTTTGTCTACCGTATTCTACAATAAAAAAACCAACGACCATGAAGAATACCGACTGTGATAATATGAAATACCTAATTTTTACAGTATTTTAGTGTGAAAGGGAAGACACTCAGCCTTGTTCATGTAATAAAAATTAATTACTATTTATAGAAACTCGGAAGAGGAGAAAATTTAAAAAAAAATATGCGTATGTAAGGAAGCACTTTAAATAAAAACCTCAAGTAATCTTTTAGATCTAGTGGATTATCAAAAATGCTAATACATTTCATTCAATTCAACATACAAGTTCTCCGACTCGGGTCATAAATTCACAAAAATAGCTGCAGGCAAATCATGTTGGCATAACAATACTATTTATTGCCATAAAAAGTCTGGAAAAAATCATTACCTGCAGTATTGCAGTATAGTATAATAACATACAGTACATGTATACTTCATTAAAAGCAGGTGTAGTTAATAAAACTACTAGATTGCTTATGACTATAAGCATACAATCCAATAGTTTAATCATGTTAAAGCAGGCTGATAAAGTCGGGACCCTAAATAATAGCCCCCAAACAGATGGAGTGACGGATACATAAGAATAAGATGTGGAAGTAGTTGATGGATTTAAGTGGATCAGGATTGTCGTTCATACTTTGAAGAGGTGTATGAACAGCAGTGGACTTGTTATGGACTGTAATGATGATGATTTTAATGTCAATCTCTTTGAAGCTCACACATCAAAAATATTTTTAGTTTGTTTCCTATTGCACACACTTTCTAAATATCAGTCTAGAGTTGTACAAAATATATCTCTATTTTAATTAATTAAGCATACTTCTTATATATTTTATATTTGTATAACATACGTACATCTCGCACAATTTTAACTCTCCTGGAAGTTGCTTTCCCCGCTAAAAGTACAACCAGAATGTTGAATGATATGGCAAGCTGCATAAATACCACATTTCACACAAGTCTCATATGGCTTGCCTAATACCATTTGACTGAGGAAACCGCCTGTGAAGGCGTCCCCTGCTCCATTCGTATCCACAATTTGCTCTTTAGACAACTTCTTGACCGGTATTTGTGATACTTTATCACCTTCCACAAGTATAACCGGTTCGCTACCCTGTGTTATTACAACTACTCTCTGTCTTGAACTATTTAGTTTGGGGAGTGATGCAATATTTTCTGCGATTTCCTTTGGATTCTTGCCAGTTAAGTTGAATGCCTTGGCAAATGCTTCAGCTTCCTGGAATTCAAAAATAAATAAATCTTTTTACACTCTCAAAACGTTTCTTTCCTTTCAAATTTAATATTTTTATTTTTTTTAAAACAATGATTTTTTCAAGTTAATTTGAATTATGCCTAAATTTTCTGCTAATGTAGCATATTTCTAGGTAACTATACAATTCAACGAAAGCCATAAAATACTTTTATGGCTTTCGTTGAATTATATGGTTAACAAATAATAGGTAGAAAAAAAAAAGTGGGTACTCTACTCACAGTCTCATTTCCAAACAAGACATCAACATAAGGTATCATCTTCTCCAAGGGGTCCTTGTAATACTGCGAGACGAAGGGTGCACTAAGATTCATGATGAAAGTAAGCCCGTTCTTGTGCGCGTGTTCCGCCAGCTGCATTATCGACTCAGGTGACACCGCAACAAAGAAGCCCTGTAAACATAAACTTGTTCTGGTTTAAATTCGATCACAACCCATTGACATCACTTTTGTGAGGGGGTATCACTTGGGGCTGGAGAGAAAGCTGCTTTCATCTTCTCAAACATTACATCATTGTCACCACTCAATTCAACACCTCTTTATAACTACCTTAAAACCCATACAACACCGTCGACAACACGCCCGGCGAGGTGGTCGGACGTGAAGCGCTGCGCGGCGGCCAGGTGGCGCACAGAGGATAGCACCTGTTGTTGGGTCACTCACCGAGGCGTATAAAAAGCGCGCGGCACGTATGCTGTCGCGGCACTCGCGCCTGGCGAGGTGGTCGGGCGTGAAGCGCTGCGCGGCGGCCAGGTGGCGCACAGAGGATAGCACCTGTTGTTGGGTCACTCACCGAGGCGTATAAAAAGCGCGCGGCACGTATGCTGTCGCGGCACTCGCGCCTGGCGAGGTGGTCGGGCGTGAAGCGCTGCGCGGCGGCCAGGTGGCGCACAGAGGATAGCACCTGTTGTTGGGTCACTCACCGAGGCGTATAAAAAGCGCGCGGCACGTATGCTGTCGCGGCACTCGCGCCTGGCGAGGTGGTCGGGCGTGAAGCGCTGCGCGGCGGCCAGGTGGCGCACAGAGGATAGCACCTGTTGTTGGGTCACTCACCGAGGCGTATAAAAAGCGCGCGGCACGTATGCTGTCGCGGCACTCGCGCCTGGCGAGGTGGTCGGGCGTGAAGCGCTGCGCGGCGGCCAGGTGGCGCACAGAGGATAGCACCTGTTGTTGGGTCACTCACCGAGGCGTATAAAAAGCGCGCGGCACGTATGCTGTCGCGGCACTCGCGCCTGGCGAGGTGGTCGGGCGTGAAGCGCTGCGCGGCGGCCAGGTGGCGCACAGAGGATAGCACCTGTTGTTGGGTCACTCACCGAGGCGTATAAAAAGCGCGCGGCACGTATGCTGTCGCGGCACTCGCGCCTGGCGAGGTGGTCGGGCGTGAAGCGCTGCGCGGCGGCCAGGTGGCGCACAGAGGATAGCACCTGTTGTTGGGTCACTCACCGAGGCGTATAAAAAGCGCGCGGCACGTATGCTGTCGCGGCACTCGCGCCTGGCGAGGTGGTCGGGCGTGAAGCGCTGCGCGGCGGCCAGGTGGCGCACAGAGGATAGCACCTGTTGTTGGGTCACTCACCGAGGCGTATAAAAAGCGCGCGGCACGTATGCTGTCGCGGCACTCGCGCCTGGCGAGGTGGTCGGGCGTGAAGCGCTGCGCGGCGGCCAGGTGGCGCACAGAGGATAGCACCTGTTATTGGGTCACTCACCGAGGCGTATAAAAAGCGCGCGGCACGTATGCTGTCGCGGCACTCGCGCCTGGCGAGGTGGTCGGGCGTGAAGCGCTGCGCGGCGGCCAGGTGGCGCACAGAGGATAGCACCTGTTGTTGGGTCACTCACCGAGGCGTATAAAAAGCGCGCGGCACGTATGCTGTCGCGGCACTCGCGCCTGGCGAGGTGGTCGGGCGTGAAGCGCTGCGCGGCGGCCAGGTGGCGCGCAGAGGATAGCACCTGTTGTTGGGTCACTCACCGAGGCGTATAAAAAGCGCGCGGCACGTATGCTGTCGCGGCACTCGCGCCTGGCGAGGTGGTCGGGCGTGAAGCGCTGCGCGGCGGCCAGGTGGCGCACAGAGGATAGCACCTGTTATTGGGTCACTCACCGAGGCGTATAAAAAGCGCGCGGCACGTATGCTGTCGCGGCACTCGCGCCTGGCGAGGTGGTCGGGCGTGAAGCGCTGCGCGGCGGCCAGGTGGCGCACAGAGGATAGCACCTGTTGTTGGGTCACTCACCGAGGCGTATAAAAAGCGCGCGGCACGTATGCTGTCGCGGCACTCGCGCCTGGCGAGGTCGTCGGGCGTGAAGCGCTGCGCGGCGGCCAGGTGGCGCACAGAGGATAGCACCTGTTGTTGGGTCACTCACCGAGGCGTATAAAAAGCGCGCGGCACGTATGCTGTCGCGGCACTCGCGCCTGGCGAGGTGGTCGGACGTGAAGCGCTGCGCGGCGGCCAGGTGGCGCACAGAGGATAGCACCTGTTGTTGGGTCACTCACCGAGGCGTATAAAAAGCGCGCGGCACGTATGCTGTCGCGGCACTCGCGCCTGGCGAGGTGGTCGGGCGTGAAGCGCTGCGCGGCGGCCAGGTGGCGCACAGAGGATAGCACCTGTTGTTGGGTCACTCACCGAGGCGTATAAAAAGCGCGCGGCACGTATGCTGTCGCGGCACTCGCGCCTGGCGAGGTGGTCGGGCGTGAAGCGCTGCGCGGCGGCCAGGTGGCGCACAGAGGATAGCACCTGTTGTTGGGTCACTCACCGAGGCGTATAAAAAGCGCGCGGCACGTATGCTGTCGCGGCACTCGCGCCTGGCGAGGTGGTCGGGCGTGAAGCGCTGCGCGGCGGCCAGGTGGCGCACAGAGGATAGCACCTTTTTTTTTTTTTTTTTTTATAGAATAGGGGGCAAACGAGCATGCGGCTCACCTGATGTTAAGTGACTACCGCCGCCCATGAACAACCGCAACACCAGGGGAATTGCAGATGCGTTGCCGGCCTTTTAGAAAGGTGTAAGCTCTTTTCTTGAAGGTTCCTAAGTCGTATCGGTTCGGAAAATTCGCTGGTGGTAATTGATTCCACAAAGAAGTTGTGCGAGGGAGAAAACTTCTTCTAAATCGCACAGTGGTGGACCGCCAATCATCCAGATGGTATGGATGGTAACGCGAGTTTTGTCGCGACGTGCGATGGTGAAATTGAGCGGCTGGAATTAGTCCGAACAATTCCTCAGAGCACTCCCCGTGATAGATGCGATAAAAACCTGTTGTTGGGTCACTCACCGAGGCGTATAAAAAGCGCGCGGCACGTATGCTGTCGCGGCACTCGCGCCTGGCGAGGTGGTCGGGCGTGAAGCGCTGCGCGGCGGCCAGGTGGCGCACAGAGGATAGCACCTGTTGTTGGGTCACTCACCGAGGCGTATAAAAAGCGCGCGGCACGTATGCTGTCGCGGCACTCGCGCCTGGCGAGGTGGTCGGGCGTGAAGCGCTGCGCGGCGGCCAGGTGGCGCACAGAGGATAGCACCTGTTGTTGGGTCACTCACCGAGGCGTATAAAAAGCGCGCGGCACGTATGCTGTCGCGGCACTCGCGCCTGGCGAGGTGGTCGGGCGTGAAGCGCTGCGCGGCGGCCAGGTGGCGCACAGAGGATAGCACCTGTTGTTGGGTCACTCACCGAGGCGTATAAAAAGCGCGCGGCACGTATGCTGTCGCGGCACTCGCGCCTGGCGAGGTGGTCGGGCGTGAAGCGCTGCGCGGCGGCCAGGTGGCGCACAGAGGATAGCACCTGTTGTTGGGTCACTCACCGAGGCGTATAAAAAGCGCGCGGCACGTATGCTGTCGCGGCACTCGCGCCTGGCGAGGTGGTCGGGCGTGAAGCGCTGCGCGGCGGCCAGGTGGCGCACAGAGGATAGCACCTGTTGTTGGGTCACTCACCGAGGCGTATAAAAAGCGCGCGGCACGTATGCTGTCGCGGCACTCGCGCCTGGCGAGGTGGTCGGGCGTGAAGCGCTGCGCGGCGGCCAGGTTGGCGCAGAGCGAGCGGCGCGCGCCGGTCACCAGCACGGCGCAGGTGCCCGTTGCCGCCTCGTACGTCACCTGGTACAGCACGCGCACGCCGTCCGCTCTGGGGGACGTATTAAACTGCGTTGAGAGGACAGTGTTGCCACAAGTAAAAGCTGACATTGACCTCCACATCTTCCGATCGGAGTCGAACTTATAAAACATATATTTTGTGCATGGGAGAATTCAGAGGATGCTTTGGGTGTATATTGTGACCTTTCCAAGGCCTTCGACTGTTTTCACCATGAGACAATCAGGAAGCTACAGTACTACATATGGTGTCAAGAACACAGCGCTTAAACTTATTATTTCACATTTAAGTAATAGAATGCAGAAAGTTATTATGAATAGTAAAAGTTCTTCAGGGTCGTCCGTAAAGATGGGTGTCCGTCAGGGCTCGATTCATGGCCCATTCCTATTTTTAGTGTATATTAATGACTTACCTTTCCTCGTAAGGGATAATCATGATATAGTTTTATTTGCTGATGATACTTCCATGATTTTTAAACTTAAACGTCTATTAACGTCTATTTTATACGTGGTAGAGCCATGCTGCAGCTATATTATGGTTGTAGCACGAATGGGTCGGCTCGACCGGGGAAGGACCAGGCTCTCACAGAATACCAGCGTAAAATAGCAGCTTAACGCTGCTGTGTTTCATATGGTGAGTGTAGAGAATCGGAGACCCTTTTTACTGGAAACGAGGCATTCCATCTTAGTCCTCACGGGTGACAACGCATCTGCATTTTGATTCTTAATCGAAGATAGATGTAGATGTCTATGGGCCACAGCAACCACTTACCATCAGGTGGACTGTGTGCTCGTTTGTCACCCTTATCCTATAAAAAAAATATTATTTAAAGTCATCTTCTTCTACCTAGCGTTTATCCCGGTTGCTCATCCCGTCCAGCGCGGGAGAACCCAGGGTCCGCTTTCCTACACTTCCTCCTCCACTTTGCCCGGTCTTCGGGGTCCCTCGCAACTAGCCCATTGGCGCGCATGTCATCCTGCGCGACATCAAGCCAGCGTTTCTTGAGCCGTCCTCTACTTCTGGTGCCAGGTAGGGTCATGTCTAGGCATTTGTTTCCCACGTAGCTTGCCGGTTGTCGTAAGACGTGGCCGTACCAGCGGAGGCGACTTTCCTGTAGCTTGTCAGCAATGTCACGGACATGGAGGCTGCCGCGAATGTATGTATCCCGTACACGGTCTTTCCGCGTGACGCCACACATCCACCGCAGCATGTTCATCTCCGTGACATGCAACAACTGCCGGTGTCGCTCCAGCACCGGCCACGCCTCACTGCCGTACGTAAGGACAGGCCTTATGATGGTCTTATAGACCTGTCCCTTCAGCTTGACCGGCATTTTGAGGTCAAAAATGACACCCGTCACCTCGCGCCATTTTACCCAAGCCGCTGATATACGGGCCATGATGTCGCGATCGATGTCCCCAGACGCATCAAGCACAGATCCGAGGTACCTGAAGTTATCCGTACGCTCGACGGTGTCGTCGCCTATACGGAGAGACGTCAGATCAGTGCTGTTGCAGGCCATATACTCCGTCTTCGCCACGTTTAGATTCAGTCCGCCTTTCTCAAGCGCCTCCCTCCATGCGTGCACGCGTCTGGTGAGCTGTCCTTTGTCCGCATCTACCAGTGCGATATCATCAGCGTACATAAGCAGCCAGGGCTGCGGTAGTTTCTGTTCGCTGGCTGACAGATCGTCTAATATCACACTGAAGAGATAGGGGCTTAAGACGGAGCCCTGATGCACGCCTACGGTTATGGGGAAGAGGGTGGTATCACCAAAAGCGGTCCTGACTATTGAATCGTAGTTGCGGTACATGTCACGTACGATTTCCACGTACGTCTCTGGTACCAATTTCGACCGCAACGCCCACCAGATCATCTCCCTGGGAACACAGTCAAAGGCCTTCTGCAGGTCTAGGAATAAAAAATGCAGAGGCATATTCTTTTCCCTGTGCTTCTCCATGAGGATCCTTAGGGCGAATATAGGGTCCATGGTACTGCGTTCTGGTTGGAAACCGTACTGGGAGTCCGACACTGTACACTCCTGTCGGATCCTGGTGTCAATAATGCGTGTGTGACATCACATTTATACCGCGGTAATTACCGCAATCCTGAACGGACCCTTTACCCTCGTGGACCGGCGTTATTATACTAAGCCGCCACTGATTGGGCATTATTCGGTCGCTCAGGATTCTATTATGAAGGTTAGTAAGAATGCACACACCACGAGCCCCCAGCGCTTTCCACGCTTCAATTGGCACCTTGTCCGGTCCGACAGCTTTCCGATTCTCCATGTGACGAAGAGATGCGAGGACCTCGTCAGGTGTAAGCGGTGGCACGAGTCCATGGTTCGGAAGGGTGCACTTCCCGGTGCTGAGTACTCAGCAAAACGTGGAAATAAGAGCGCCATCTCTCCTTCACCGCAGGATCATCGTACAGGAGCTCGCCATTAGGGCCGTTGACTCTGCAGCAGCGTGTAATATCTTGCGCTGCTTTGGCCCTGGAGCGCGCCAGTTTATATATGAGCTTGTGCCCCTCAGGAGTGTCCAACTTAGCATATAATGGTTGCAAGTGGTCACGCCTGGCTCTGACTACAGCTTTCTTGTGCATCTCTTTTCGATGTCTTGTAAGATGCGCGATCTTCAGGAGATTTGGTCGCTTGCCACGTCTTGAAGAGCGCTTTCTTCTCCCGTAATGAACCCTGGACTGTGGCGTCCCACCACCAGGTCTCCTTGTCGATTTTGCGGCCCCCTTTCACCACGCCGAGAACTTGCTTTGCCGTCTTTGTGATTGCTGTCTGACTGGTTTTCCAGCACTTTTGGACGGACTTGCCTGCTGTGTCGAGACTAACATCCCAGGCGGCAGAGTCAAACTCTGAGTATCTGGTTTGATCCAGCAGCCACCATTTGATTTGACGGCGGCAACGTTCGGCGTGTCTGCGACGGGGTTTTACGCAGAGGTCCATGACAAGAAGTCGGTGTTGGGCAGTGAGACACTCACCGGGTATGACCTTACAGTTGGCCACGCGACTGATATGACTTCTCCTGGTCAGTAGGTAGTCGATTTGAGTGGCGTTCCGACCGCTCCTGTAGGTAATCAGGTGCTCGGTTTTCTTTTTGAAGAACGTGTTCACCACGGCCAGGTCAGCTGCAGCGCAGGTTCTGAGAATGGTTTCCCCCTCTGCGTTTCTTCGGCCGTAACCATAGCCGCCGTGGACACGTTCATACTCCCCCCGCACCTCGCCCACATGACCGTTCAGGTCGCCACCCAAAACGACATCGTTGGACAACGGTATGCCGCGTAGTACATCTCCGAGCCGATCCCAAAACAGCGTATTATCCGCGTCGCTGCAGCCGACCTGTGGGGCGTAGGCACTTATTAAGTGGGTCACGACCCCCTCAATAAGCAACCTTACTACCATAAGTCGGTCGCATATGCGTCTAACTTCCAAGACGCTGTCGTGGAAATGCTCGGCGAGCACCACTGCCACACCGTTCCTCCCACCAGAAGAGCCTGTATAGATCAGCTTGTAGCCGTGCCCAATATTCCGGCTCCTGTTGGCCTTTCACCGTGCCTCGTGCAGGAATGCCACTGCCACTTTACGCCTGGCAAGTATGGCCGCAAGTTCTGCGGAGCGTCCCGTAAGCGTGCCAATGTTCCAGTTCGCAAAGCTAATCTTCGTAGTTGGTGCTAACGTCTTTAGCCGGCCTCGCACGGGGCCCGGTAGCCCTCGCATACTTGTCGCAGGGTTAAGGCGATCCCCATGCGCGTCGTTATGCGGCGGCGCCCTAGTCCTAAACGTACATCTCTTTCTTTTTCTTTCCATTTTTTTGAGTGGCTTAGTGCCAATTACCGGGGCGACTGCCGTCTGACCCCCGAACCCCTAGGACGAATCCCAAAGGAGTGGCATCGCCAGAGCCCTTTCCGTTGTCCAGCAGGTGCGCTACGTTCAGGCGGGGTTGGCTTGACAGACATATACAGACACAGAATATACCCAAAGCATCCTGTGAAGAGCCGTGGTAGCTCAGATGGTTAGCGCTCGCTGTAAGCTTCACAGTACTCTAGCAACCCGTGTTCGATCCCCGCCGGCACCAATGAAATTGTTAATTGCAGTTTTAAGTGCTGATTCACCACGTGCTCGGCGGTGAAGGAAAACATCGTGAGGAAACCTGCATGTCTGAGAAATAAGAAAGAAAAATATTTCGAAGACATGTGAAGTTCGCCAACACGCATTGGGGCAGCGCGGCGGACATTTCCTTGCCCTAAAACCCTCTCAGAAATGAGAGGAGGCCTGTGCCCACCAGTGGGACGTAAATAAGCTGCAACTTTTATCCTGCGAATTCTCCCATGCATTAAAGATATATTTAATCAGCTCAACACCGGCACAGGGTACTTCCCGTGAACTCAGAATCTTAAAATTTGGTACGATAAAAGAAAAATTGCGAAAAGCATAAATTTTTAGTTACATCATATAATAAAATATTTTTAATAATTTTAAAGTTATATACCTACGGATTTGTTCGGAACCCTCGGTGCGCGAGTTCAACGCGCACTTGGCCGGTATTTTATTGTTGTTTTGCTGTTATCAGAAAGATGCTGCTACCCATCCTCTGCCTCAGTTTCCCTCTGTCGCCTCTTAGGACACCCACGGGAAGATATGGGGTAGTGAGTATTTTTACCCGCCACCGGATACCGGGTAATAATTACAAATTGTAATCGGGACTAAATTTTTAAAAGTAGTCTGATTTTGAAATAAAACTGCCGAATTTTGGCACACTAATAGAATCAATTAAAGAAGATTTTTTAATTCATTTCTGACGTTCTAAATAAAGATTAGAACAAATATTAGACTTCGTATTCACAACTATCGATTGACTGAAGCATTGACTAAATTAATTGAGCACATGGCCGGGCCGTTTCGATGATTGATTTATGATAAATTGAACAAATAACTTTGATTACGGACAATTTTGTCGAAATAGATTTCATAAAGGCAATGGTTTCATAAACCCTTATTTTATTTAATATTATAAAATTTGAAAGTATGTGTGTCCATTAATCGTACGTCGAAAGGATTCTAATGAAATTTTGCAATTGAAATCGTTTTCTAATTAATCATTTCGTGGAGTAAGACTAAAAATACTTTCTATAATAATAATTGTTATTATTACTAAAATTTAGTTTACGCCGTGCGAGGCGGCTGGTAGCAGCTACTCTCATTAATAAGTATCTAGGTCTAGGGGATCGAGTTTTGGCCGGCGTTAGAAAAAAAAATTAAATAATATATCTAGAAAAACTTGTAAGTAAAACATTATCTAAGTACTGTTTGGGCTTGAAAACTAAAAAATCAAAAATATCTAATCACATTGTAGGATTCAAACTCGCACACTCCGGCATGCTAGACCTACCAAAGCAAAATTAACAAAATAGGCAAAATTATCCATCATATTGCGTAAGTTTGTTGTGTTAAACGTGGGGAAAACGGATTTTCCCAGAAATTAGATCTAGTTTTATCGATTTTTCGCACCTAAACGCCTATATCATAGATTTGATTTAAATCGTTGGAGCCGTTTTCGAGGACAGGATTACAAACATATAAATACTTCTCTTTGATTAGTAAAAAGTATCTTGTTAAAAATAAAGACTCAGTTTATATCCATTAGACATAATGTAAGTGTAAAGAAGCAAATTCTTCTCACGCACAGAGATAACGGCTAATGTTATCATGAAGATCACCTCATTGCTTGACATGGCTCTTATCATATTTGCTCTTATTTCAGTTGCTTACTATCACTTACATCATAGTATGTTGATTGTATATCACTTGGTTTATGATGTAATAATATAGACTTATACAGTATGACACACTGTCATATGTCGAAAGTGAATGATTGTGTAAAAGCTGTCTCTCATTACCTTATGAATGACTCTTTAGTTTAGTGGTAGCTTAACTACTGTTCATGTAGTCTTGGGTTCGAATCACGATTCGAGACAAACAATTAGCTATAAGGGTTTTTCTTTCAAGAAATTCTTATTAGCAGCACGGTGACAGGAAGTTGAGAATATAGTCAAGCATTGGTTTATAATATAACTAACTGTTCCTCGCGACTTCGGCCCCGTGTAATTTAGGGTTTTAATTTTGTTGCGTGGAACCCTAATTATTTTTCAAAAATATAAGTAGCCTAAGTTACTCCTTATAACATGAGTTATCTACCAGTGAAAGTCCCGTTAAAATCGGTCCAGCCGTTTCGGAAATTAGCCGGAACAAATAGACAGACAGATGGACAGACAGACAAAAATTTTAAAAATTGTGTTTCTGTTATAGGTACCGTATATACTTTTATATGCAATTAGTAAAAATCTGTTATTTAGACATTACAAGCAGACACTTTAATTTTATTTATTTGTATAGATATTTATATAATATGTGGAAAAAGTCACTGCTCCTGCGCCCAATCTCTTTACAGTAGTGTCGGATTGTTGATTCATCGGGCTATCAGTGCTTGCGCATACATTCATGCCCTATAATCTTTTCCTATGCAGGCGGCATATCTCCATTGAGATTGGTCGCTGTGATCAAAATTCTGTCCAGAAGACATAAATAATTGTTTCATCTCATCTATTGTTATGTGAAAGTGCGCCTGTACTTGCGTAGACATTCGTTTACTATAATACTGTCCTGTGCAGCAGATGCTTTATTGAAACTGGCCATCGTGACCAAAATTCTATTTGAAGGACATTAACAATTAATTCTATAGATTAAGCTAAAGGCAGGCAGGGGCTGAATATAAATTTACTTACTCTGCTCTTTCCTTGAGTATCTGTGCAAATTTATCATTCCCCACGCAACCAAAATATGTACAGACTTTGGGTTTTTTAAGAATCCATTGCGCCACACGAAGAGAATTCTGTACACTGCCACCAGCTATAAATTCCGCGTTATAGCTGAAATTAATGGGTTTTTATTAACATACACAATGTTACCGAATTTGTTTCTAGGATACCAGCATCAGAACTAAAATATCCAACATAAATTGAAGAGGCAATGAATGGCCATTTAACTCAAAGTTAAGTAAGCCTAAGTAAGCGCAGCAAGTGTCTCCCCTGTTTCGCCACCCCACCATACATGGTGTGACGACCTGATAAAGCATGCAGTGTGTTGATAGATAAAACTGAATCATATCCTTTAGCAAGGTGCTCTTTAATAGATTGCCTATATTCAGCAATAGACTTGTGAATTCCGAGAAGACTATATTTAGTAATAGATTTGTGATGGTACAACAACAGTTATAATAAATGAATAGGCAGGGAACAATTTCAGAAATTTTAAGCAAATACTTTGTGTTTTTCTGTACTATAGTATTATCATCATTGATCATTACAGTCCACCATAAGTCCACTGCCGAATATTGGCCTCCCCAAGGATTACCACAAGGCATGCTCTTAAATCACCTGGATCCATTGACTTATTGCATGTTTTAGCAGGTTTTGGGGACTCCATTTATTAGGAGGCCGCTTTATACTTAAAAACCTATCTACTCCATTTGTTTTCAGTTAATCTATATATTGGAGCTGTGGGACTATTTTTAACATTAATTGATAGACTGATAGATGATCACTGATGATGTCAATCCTTATACTATCCTTATTCTACTTACACCTAGCCAATTTATTATTAACAACAGAAAAAATAATTTCAGAAATGAAACAACTCCAAATTAAGTAGGTATATAAAAAATCTATTATATCTTTCATAGAATATATATATGTTGGTTATATATTTGCGACCAACAATTATATAGGATTATTATTACAAGATGTATTAGCCGTGATAAGCTCTTAAGCTTGTAAGTGCTCACTGTAAATTTCACAGTACGCAAGTAACCCAGGTTCCATCCTCACCCCGCCAATGAATTTGCATTGGGCAGTAATTTGTCACTTTTAAATTTGCATTCAAGCATGCAAAGTTAAAAGTGACAATTTAACAAATATAATTATTGCTCCCATGAACATAACTCAATAGCATTGACTTGTGAATACTTAGTCCAGATATAACATAATTATCATCATCTATATCAACTGGCCATCATCATCATTAATCCAGCCAATCAAAGACCACTGCTGAACACAGACTTGCCCATACATATAAGGTATTATAGGGTGATATTTGCCTTAGTTACCATGCCAACAGGCAGATTAGCAGCTGCAGTTTTTTTATCATTTTGAGTTAAATATGCTGCTGCCCAGCTCCTGTTATGGTTTCCATCTGTCACTTTGGGGTAGTGGAATCTCTTACGCTACCTGTCACTACACTGTCTGTCACTGTATACAGTAGGCCATATTTTAATGAGCAGTTTGGAATTATCAAAATGGACATCTTCTCAAACAGTTTGTAAGAGTTCATCATGGAATTTGTAAGAAGGGTTTGTCTTAATCGCCAAGCTTAACTGGCAGGTTATTAATCACAATACAAGATGTCTCACACCATTGATGATGTTCCCCATTGCTAGTCTGAGTAATAGATATAACAGAGACAGTTTTACCACCATCTCTTTATATGTGGTAGAGCCATAGTTGTAGCATGAATGGGTTGGCTCGACCGGGGAATGACCACACTCTCACAGAATACCAGCGTAAAATAGCAGCTTAACACTGCTCTTTCGTATGGTGAGTGTAGAGTACCGGAAACCCTTTTTACTGGAAAAGAGGCACGCCATCTGTATTTTGATTTTTTTTGAGGATAGATGTGGATGACTATGGGTCACAGCAACCACTTACCATCAGGTTGACTGTGTACTTGTTTGTCACCCTATCCTATAAAAAAATCTATTGGAAACCATGAGATCTTTCTAGAATCCCCATAGTCAACTCTTAAGACATCTATGGGATAAAATGGGATGATGGATTATTTAACGCCACATTAGTCATAAAAAAATTAAAAATACTATTTCTGCCTGATTGAGGCTGATCAACTTTCCTCAATAATAAATGAATATATTATACACCATACAAATTGTTTACATTTTTGTAAATAATTTTATAGGCAATCTTACTTAAAAGCTACTACCATAAACATTTTTTATAAATTTTGTCACCTCCTGTGCATGCTTATAAGTAAAAATTTTATACATAAAAATCATACTTCTCTGTCAGTTCTTTGTACAAGGGCATGTGTTTTTGTTCTGCCATTATAGCATCATCAGGATGCAAATCATATTTCTTCAGCAATTCCTCATCAACAATGGCCGAAATATCTAGCAGTGGGTTCCCAATGCCAACAAGCACACCTTCCATGTCACATTTACAGCTAAAATAATCAGGAAAATGTTAGTTCAACATAACTGTTACAAAATTTATAGGAACTGTATCCCAATCAGAATTATCCGTTATCCATTCCAGCTTATAAAAGTCCACTGCTGGACATAGGTCTCCCTCATGGATTGTCTCATGAAGGGATTTTGCCATAGTTGCCACGTTTGGCAACTGCAGTTTTTTATCATTTTGAGCTGTAATCAGGAAGATGCTGCTGCCCAACTCCTGCACATTTTCCCTCTGTGACCTCTTAGGACAACCTCGGGACCGTATAGGGGGTAATTGATACTCTTACAACGGTTGAAAAAAATCTGAATTATAAGTATTTTCAATTATTATATTACATTGCTTTTTAAAAATACAAATACCAAATTATAGGTATGCTGTGCTTAATATGGTACTAATAATATATATCTAAATTTCGAATAAGACACAAATCAAGCAACAGGAAGTATTAATAATACAAAAAAAAAACTCACCTAGGACTACCCATTATGTAATCTAAAACTTAATTTTTATTGACTTAGACTTATGCAGTAGTTTCTTGCAACATTCAAGAACAATTAAATCAAATCAAGGCGTATAATATCTGTCTTATAGGTAAGTATTACCTAAGTGTGTCGCATGTAAATATCTAACTTATAATCATCGCAAGTTTCAGTCACTACACAGAAAAACGTGTTCACGTTTTCTATAATTACGGAATAGAATGGAATGGAAGAACAAAAAATTTATTTTGTTTAAACGTCACAAGCTCACAAACGTCATTAACGTCAATATATATTTTTTAATAACTGGGTTTACGGCTCTGGGTTAAAGCCCTTCTGAGTCTGAACTTACAATGTATAATTATCCTTCATAGTACACTGTTTCACAATATGTTGATGCGTCACATTGAGCAGCCCCTGGGAGATTTTGACGGCACCTAGAGCCAGCAGACAGCTGATAGTTGGCGATGGTATCTCAAGGTGCCTAAGCAGACGACACCTTATCTTGAGAATCACATCACCATCAGATCACTTAATTCACCGTTTCCAGTAATAGTTGACATCCGCAGACATTTAATACACAAAATCGCACCACTTTTATTTATCAAAATCCCCTTCAAACCATTATTTAAACAATAATACAGGAACAGCAAACAGCCGCCAGTCATATTTCCGCCAAATCTCCAAACTGATAACTGCTGTCAGATTATAAGAGTACATAACTGCACCATAGACTTAGAATATACTGAGTATAGACGACCTGACAGCCTAAAAATCCCAATTCGCGTGACATTATTGTTTGCGTTATCTAGTGATGTACTTTTTGCTTACAAAGACTATCGGAAAATGATTGTTAAGGAAGCGATAAAAAGATTAAAGAAATAGTTTAGTGCACGAAACCGCAAAACTACAAAAATTTATTGAATTTTACCATGACAGTTCTAAAAATAATTAAAAAAAATCAAATGACATATTGGAAATAAGGGGAATAATCGGGAAATAAGCTGCACCCTTCCTGTCTTTTGTTGGATTTTAATTCAAAATATATGAGGGCATGACTGCGGCGTCGTAGTACACTGGCACAGCAAAACTTGCGCCACATAGCGCGCCACTCGATTTGCCCCACCGCCTCTGTTTAGGCCCAGGAAAAGGTAATTTGTACGCCATCCAATCACGTTCGACTTCGTGAATCGCCCGATGGTGCCAGGTGTCGCGCGAGTCGTGGTGCGGGGGCGGTGGTGTACCGGCTCCGGTGATTCCAGCGCTGGGCTAAGAGAAGCAGTGGCTTGACGGCGGCGGGCCAGTTAATTAGTGTCTTTAGGCGCCCGCCGCTGAGGTTTCGCGAGACCGGTGTTTTTGGATTAGGGTCTAGAATTTTGGAATTTGTGCGCGTTACTTCGCTACTGGATTGTGATTTCGTGAAAACCGCCTCGGTTTGGTTGTATACGTTATAAGTTCGCGACAGGAGGCTTGTATTGTGTTTGACTGATTAATGTAATTTCGTTTGAAAGTAATTACGCCAATTATCTAGTGATTGCGTGTTGAAGTGTATTTTGCAATATTTAACTTGCTCGTGTGACATGGAATTTGCGCGCGCGCCGATTAGAGATACGGTTTAGAATTTGAACAGCGCATTCCTTTTTTTGAGGGCGTCGCCGGTTGACTGTTTTGGAGATCATTGTAATTGTGCCGTCGCGTTAAGTGCCCTTTTTTGTGTGTTGACTGTTTTGTTAGTTTTACGGTTCAACGAGGCGGATTTTGAATTCTTATCGCGGAGTAGTATTTGATATCGAACGAAGGAACTTAGTTTTGTTTAACGTCGAACCGTGTGACTCATGAAGAGATCGCATTAGTTCCCTATTTGTAATTTGGTGATAAATGAATCCGGGACATTGAATGTTGAACTTTGAACTAATGTCCGTTACTGTGTCGGGTATCATGTGTTCGATTCTACGAGGAAGGTGAAATTAGGCGAGTTTAAGTTAGTTAAATGTACAAAGAAGTTAATAGACTGAAATAGTGACATGAAGAAAGAAATGGTCCAGCGGGGAAGCCTGCTGGTGTGATGCAGCATTGTGGGGCAGCATGGAAATCGGCCGCTGCCGATCACCTCAGCTGGGCCAGGTCTCATACAAATACACATCACTAAACACTACTTTCCATGCACCTTACACCCACCTACGGCCTGACCGAGCCTTGGGGCGGCCTTACTTTCGGATACAGGTACGTACTATATTTTTCTAGCCTTCTCCCTACAGTTTAGTATGATAGGACATTTTTCCATATGGCCATTTGGGCTCGAATCCGCGGCTGCCCGTTGAATCTTCCGCTCATGGGCCGCGGGATATTTGACCTTTGCAGGGGCAGCTGTGGGCCGTAACAGCCTCACTACTCGACTTGTTTTGCAAAGGGTATAAAATGACCGCGTAGCAATGTAGCGGGCAGTATTGGCACTGGCGAGTACTAAGTGCACTCGTTGTGCCAAGCTAGCTTATCCTAGACGCTCAGTGATAATTAATTTGAAATTAAATATTATTTTTAAATAAAACTAATTTTACGGATTTTATCGCGTATATTAACTTATTTTTAACTTATTTTTATATTCCCGACGTTTCAGGTGCTTTCCAGCACCCGTGGTCACGGGGGACTCACCCGAAAGCACCCGAAAATCCGTAAAATTAGTTTTATTTAAAAATATGTAGTGTTTGCGTAAATATAAGAAATCATTAAATATTATTATTAATTATAAAAGTGCCCTAGTACAATTTACAATTAATAAAATTAAATATTATCTTATAATCTCTGATTTTTTATTAAGCTTGGCCGACCCATTTTCTCTTACATATATATAATCCCAAAAATCTCTGAAGAAGTGATTCTACCGATAAACTTAAACAATTTCCCCCAAAAATCAAATCGGGTAGTTGCATTTTCGAGCTATTTCATTCGGGGAAACTATCCATGGCTGTTTTTTTCTACAAAGATAATATATATAATAATAAAATATATATAATATATATTACCTTTGGAGAAAAAACAGCCATGGCCAGTTTCCCCAGAATTTCTTTTTTAACACAACGTTAATCAAATATAGGTAGATACTTAATTAAGTATATACCTATTTATATTTTATATCTAAATAAAAAAATATTTTTGTGTGTTCGTATTTTACACACTGCACTACCGTTCATCAGATCGCATTAAAACTTTGTCAATTTATTGCTGGTACTTGCGCGCAGGTTATAGACATAGTACAATTGAATTGCAGTAGTTGGCGCGCGTATCGTACCGACAAATTTATTTGAAAGTTATATATCACTCAATTTCATACAAATATTTCCACAATTAATTTTTATGTGACAGCAACTCGCTGGGTACCAGGTAGTATTTTATAAAATGTTTGCTTTAAACTTTTAATAATTACAAGCATTTAATAATTAAATACATTTTAGAAGTTTATTTTAACATTCGACTTAAATATGTAAACTAAATAATTTAAGTAAAAAAATCTTGTAGGAATCAGTTAAATAAGATTGCTTTGTTTAAAGGCCAATATGTTAAAGAGGCTACTCTCTCTTTCATTTTTCCCTGAAAAATATGAAATAGTAATAAGCTTATTATCATTTTGGCTGCATGAATTTTAAGAATATATGATCTTAACAGAGACTAGCCAAATACGCAGGAGATATTGAAGTGCACCAAGTGTGAGGATACAGATGCACTTTCTATTCTGTCAATCTAAGTATGTCAAGAAAAGAGTCATCCATCGATGGATAGAAATAGCTACTTTTAATAAATTTGTTTTGTTCTGCCTTTTCTTTTATACTTGTCAAGAAAATGCTTGCTGCAAATTGTTGAGTTATTCTTTGGATTCCAACCAACCCGCCCAATTAACCTTAACCATTTTTTTCTAGTTATAGAATTAAGAGGGAATCTGTTTGACAAACGGTAGAATAAAATTACGTTTTTAGAACGCAAATCGAGTATTTTATTATTCCTCTTCTTGTTGTGTGGGAAAGTCTATCGATTCGTTACAAACACTCATTTAAATATCGACATTCAGATAAATATTGACATTAATTTTGATATAGTTGAGTCAATCCCTATCATATAAAACTTACTAGAAATAGCCACTATTATACTATAAAAAATTACAAAATATTTAGGAGCTTATTTCTTGAATGCTGACTTGTGCGACCTGTCATTCAAAATCGGTTACAGAGTCGTGATAAGGAATTTTCTTCTCCCTTGCACACTATCACCGTCTATTACTATCCTAAGTCTATGAACTGCACTAGTACTTCTTATCATTATAATCATAATCATAAATCATTTATTTGCAAGAAATATGGTTGGTACACAAGATGTTAAAGTAAGTTATAGCACAGGAGATATTTCACCCTCATTACGGGTCATCATTCTTATTAGTTTGTTTGTGGTATATAACTATCAGTATGGCTTTCCGTTTTTATTCTGTCTATGTTTTCAAGCATAGACACAATAAAAAGGAAATAATAAAACGGTGGGTATTAAATCAACGAATAAATAAAACTAGTTTTTACGAAGTCCATCGCTTATATTAAATTATCTTATATTCCCAACACTTATTCTACAGCACTCATGTTCACGGGGACTGAGGTGTTCGATGTCCCAATGTCATCATATAGTATATTGAAGTTTTGCAGTTGTATGCTTGGGTTGGGATTTAATTTTATTAATTATAGGATCCCAAGCAGATGCTAAAACTCAACCATCATCTCTATTGAAATAAGTACATTTTTTTTTAATTTCAATAGCCTCGCGGATCATCTTTGGATGGAATCAGTGTTCTTTAGCGAGGATTTGTGGTCTATCAAATTTGATGTAGTGACAGGGGCGATCCTGTACGTGTTCACAGACTGTAGACTTCTTGGAGTGTCGATTCTTCACATCAGCTATGTGTTTTTTAACGTGGGTTTTTATTGAGTCTTTTAGTTTGTCCTATGTCAGAGAGACCACATTCACAATCAAGCTTGTACACTTGATTGATGGTAAAAACTGACAAAACCTTCGTCATGTAGCCAATCTTGTCAGTGACACTTCTGATATATGGCACTACAGCAGGATAACACACGCGTCTGTGGTCTGCTTCAATCGTTCACTGTAACGTAGGTGCGGGACCCGAAGCTTGTTGTCGTGCAAAACTTGTTGACCTGTTGGATCCCGGCGGCCAAGAGTTTACTGTCACAATCCGTTAACGGTGTTATCAGTATTCCGAATTACTAACACGTCTAGGAAAGCTAAAAAGTTGTTTGCCTCTAACTTCATTGTGAATTGAATTTTAGAATTTATAGAGTCAAGATTTTGTTGATTTTACGGGTCAGCGCTGTACAAGTTATATGTTCCACTTTACAGGTTGTTACAGTTTTAAAGGGAATACTTGTATCTAGAAAAATCGAGTAAATGAGTAGAAAGAGTAGAATGTGTCTCCACTAAAGCTTTCAGCATTGCAGATCAAAGCATTGGTTTGAGTGAGGACTTTTTTTACGTGATTTCTCTTTGCTGTTTCGTATGTTTTTACTTTGATAACATTTTTTGATAGATTAAGGGTAACAAATGAGTACACAGTCCACCTGATGTTAAATGGATGCTGTGACCCATAGACATCTACATTTATACTCCATTAAGAATCAAAATGCAGATACGTTGCCACCCCCGAAGACTAAGATGGAATGCCTCGTTTTCAGTAAAAAAGGTCTCCCGATTCTCTACACTCACCATACGAAACAACAGCATTGTGTTGTTATTTTACGCTGGTATTATACTTTCATAGTAGTTTCGCATTAGTTTACAATTTACAAAGAGTTACCAGAAAATTAGTTGATTATAAATTTAAAAAAGCTTAAGAAGCCATTCATTCATTCATTACAACCCTTCACAAGTCCAATCTCTGACGAGATGCGTCGTAATCTCAGATTACGACACATCTTCTCATCAGGTATATCTCAAAACTTAAAAAAGCAACCACCCTTCAAACGTCCAATGCTGAACATAGACCTCCCTTAAGGTATGCCACAATTCACCGTCCTGAGCCACCTGTATACATCGATTCCCTGCATCTCTTATCTGGTCATCACTCGATGTAGTGGGGGGGCCAGTGATGACTTATAGATCTGAGACGTGGTCGCTTACTGCTGGCCGTATGAAGAAACTCAGCGAACTATGGAGAGAGCTATGCTCGTCTTTTCTCTGCGTGATAGTAGCCCACATAGCCCAAAAAGGATTAGTAAGCTGTAGGGTTAATGAACCGACCATATAACTCAATGATACAACAATCGATGAGGAAGAAATATTCTCGAGTGGCAGCCTTGTACCGGTACGCGAAGTGTAGGGCGGCCTCCCACTAAAAAAGTCAAATTTATGCAAAATTCATTATAGCTTAATTAAATCTATGTTGTTATTATATATCTTAATTTCTATGTTGATAATGCTAATTTTATTAATTTTTGTTTCTTTTTTCAAAAAATTTTCTAGACTATGTTTAAATGTAAATGTGATTTCAGTAGTATTTTTAATTATCCTTTTTATTTTGCACTTTTAATAGTATTTTTATAAAAAGCACAAGCTAGATATCCTGTATTAAGCTATTATATAATCTATATTCTATACTCTATAGTCGTTTTTTATTATAACCTATAACCGGCACGAGATAGAAGATCACATTGTGCAAGCGCGATCTCCTTGGAGAATCTTCGAGAAATAAAAACTCGAATTGTTCTCTGTTCCTTAATATCATTCCAAATAGTTTAAAAAATGCTTCGCCTGCCTCGTGTTGCTCGTCAGACAATCGCATTGCATAAAAGTCATCAGATTTCAAGATTTTATGCTAAAGATGTGAGGTTCGGAGCTGATGTAAGAGCGCAAATGCTTCAGGGCGTCGATATCCTGGCTGATGCCGTTGCTGTAACAATGGGTCCAAAAGGTAGGAACGTTATTTTAGAACAATCATGGGGATCGCCTAAAATCACCAAGGACGGTGTTACAGTTGCAAAGGGCATTGAACTTAAAGATAAGTTCCAGAATATTGGAGCAAAATTAGTTCAGAATGTTGCGAATAACACAAACGAAGAGGCCGGTGACGGTACAACGACAGCAACCGTCCTCGCCCGAGCCATCGCCAAGGAAGGCTTTGAGAAGATTTCGAAGGGTGCGAATCCCATAGAAATTAGACGGGGTGTTATGCTGGCAGTGGATGCTGTAAAAGATAAGTTAAAGAGCATGTCTAAGCAAGTTACAACGCCAGAAGAAATCGCGCAGGTAGCAACCATTTCTGCCAATGGTGACACAGCAATCGGTCAACTTATTGCTGATGCCATGAAGAAAGTGGGTCGTGATGGTGTCATTACGGTAAAGGACGGTAAGACTCTTACCGACGAGTTGGAAGTAATTGAAGGTATGAAATTTGATAGAGGTTATATCTCACCTTACTTTATAAACTCTTCAAAAGGAGCTAAAGTAGAATTTCAAGATGCCTTGGTATTATTCTCTGAGAAAAAAATTAGCAATGTACAAACAATAATCCCTGCTTTGGAATTAGCTAACCAGCAAAGGAAGCCTCTCATTATTATTGCAGAGGACGTAGATGGTGAGGCATTGTCCACTTTAGTGGTCAATAGGTTGAAAATAGGTCTGCAAGTTGCAGCTGTTAAAGCCCCTGGCTTTGGTGACAACCGCAAAGCTACACTCAGTGATATGGCTATTGCAACCGGTGGAGTTGTTTTTGGTGATGATGCAAACTTGATAAAGCTTGAAGATGTCCAGCCTTCAGACTTAGGTCAAGTAGGGGAAGTTATCATTACAAAAGATGACACACTACTTCTTAAAGGAAAGGGCAAGAAACAAGACATTGATAGGAGAGCAGAGCAAATCCGTGATCAAATTCAGGAGACCAACTCTGAATATGAGAAGGAAAAACTTCAGGAACGTCTTGCTAGGTTGGCTTCCGGAGTTGCAGTCTTACGTGTGGGTGGATCCAGTGAAGTTGAAGTAAATGAAAAGAAGGACCGTGTCAATGATGCTTTGAATGCCACACGTGCTGCTGTTGAAGAAGGTATTGTTCCTGGTGGAGGCTCTGCCCTTCTTCGATGCATACCCACTCTTGATAGTCTCAAAACTGCAAACAGTGATCAAGCAACTGGTGTAGAAATCATCAAAAAGGCTTTAAGAATGCCTTGCATGACCATTGCAAGAAATGCTGGTATTGATGGGTCTGTTGTAGTTGCTAAGGTTGAGGACCTAGGCCCTGAATTCGGTTATGATGCTCTCAACAATGAATATGTTAATATGATTGAGAAGGGCATTATTGACCCCACAAAAGTAGTTAGGACAGCGCTTACAGATGCAAGTGGTGTTGCGTCCCTCCTTACAACTGCGGAAGCTGTGATCTGTGAGATCCCACAGGAAAAGGAACCTAATCCTATGGCCGGCATGGGAGGTATGGGTGGAATGGGCGGTATGGGTGGCATGATGTAAACCACTCCCATGGACTTAAGAATGCATTTAAATAGTGTAAAAAGGACTATTTAGTTACATCACTGTTAAGGGGGTACTGCAATGGTATGGTGAATGATTTATACATATTATTATGTACCGTGAATGAATATTTTTCTGTTATTAATGCTAAGTCTGATTGTATTAGACATTTAGAGACAGCCGTCTTAGATTTATTTAGTTATAAAGTATGCTTGGTTATAGAATGGTGTTATTTTTAATAAATGATGTTTTCAATTCATTTCTTTTATTTAATAAAAAAAAATTTACTGACATTATATTTTGCAAAGAAGCAATTAATTTTGCCTTTCTTAATTTTCTTATATTGAAAAATAAATAATTTTCATTACTCAAGTAATAGTTTTATGTAAAATTATATAAATGGTATATTAAAAAAAAATGTGGTTGACATTTATAACTCCACTGCAAAAGTATGTCTATTGGTGGAATTGTGTAAATTGTTTAATTAACTACAAATATTACATTTGTTTAAAATTAGAATAATCTCCTTTTTATAGTTAAAATCTAAAGTTGTGCAATACCTACTACTTGGTAATTCTTAGTACAGTATGATGTAACTCCTATTGTGTTCTTGGGAGATGTTACATAACCACCAGTAAAAACTGTTACAAGGTTAGTGAATATCAATTTAAAACAAAAAGTTTTAAGAGCTTGCATTACTTTTATTTCAACTGATAACAATTTAGGTTTGAATTCAAAAAGTAACTTGTCTTGATTAATTTAACAACAATTTAATATTAGGTATAGCTTAGTCCAGTATTAATTGTGAAAGCGCGAGAGTAAATAATCTAAGATCTTACATTGGGATCCTAGCATCCTAGCTCTGAATAAAAAACAAAACCTGTTTTCTATAATCTGAGTTAGGATGAAAGAAGTTCGTGGTGAGAAACTAGGTCTGATTCAGGTATCTAAACCTAGTCCCACTTGGATTAAATTTTTTTATTTTTAATTGTTCGTTAATAGTACATAAAAATTGTTTGTTCACTTTTAATTATTTATAATTCATTAAACGAATTTCATCCTTAGGTTGGCCCCCTTATTGCAAATTTTAACGTCTATCCCTTAAATTAATTAAATTTTATTAAATATCGTTTGTTCAATAGCTGTTGATTGTTCGATCATACATACAACTTAATTGTTAATTATTCAATATTTCCTTCCACTCAAGCATCCAAGCCGCGCGAGTGATTCTCGTCCCACCTGTCCGCGAATGAGGGCTAATAATTTTCTGCTCACCAGATGTCGCTAGTTGACACTGAGGTAAAGTTTTTTGTTACACAATGTAATTTAATTGAGAACTTGGTTTTTAATAAAAGATTATCAATTTCTAGAGTATTATATTAATACACAAAACAGTGTCCCAGTGGTTTGCTCTTTAATTTTTGCCAAATTTTTAACTTTTTTAAAATTAACAATTTATGATGATTTATTTTTTAATCTTATTAATATAAAATGTAGGTATAATAGTAATAGTACAGAAAGAAACATTACATCTAGATTTTTCGAACAAATTAACTTAACAATTAAGCTATGAAATCTGTCAAATATTATACCTCACTTTTAAGTGGCGCCGCCCTGGTGGCAGAAAAAATTGCCAAATTGTTAATGATTAAATGTAGTTTAGCTATGAAAATCTTTTGCTTTTGTAAACTCAACGGTTTCTCCTTTAAACGTGTGCTAAGACAAGGCATACTTTTTATATGCATGTTGAAGAATTTGCCATACTGCTTAGAGAATAAAGTTAATAAAAGGAATTTGTCCTATTTTGACGCTCAAAACCATATTTCAATATGATCTATAAATTACTAGAAACATAAATGTTCCAAACGATTTTCTCTTTTTTGTTTTTTGGCATCCGATCTTATTCCCTGATATAAAGAAATTGTAATTTTATGGTTTAAAACTTTGTTATGACATATTGATTTTTTTTACTAGGTAAGAAAATTTATTTTAAAAAATCTAGAATTTTTAAATAACATATAACAGTAAGGACTGGCGAAATGCCATCGGGCAATACAGGAGTAGAGGAAGATGTAAGCGGCATATGGTAATGAGTTTTGTATTCTTTGAATAGCAATTTCCAGGACTTCTTGTTTGTACGAAGTCGTCCGCATTGAAGTCCTAGCGTATTTTTGAAGCATCTGCGGATAAAATGTTACTGTAAGTAATGCGGCCGTGACACTGAGTGCATCACAGCATATTGCAAATATATCAGCATCTCACAAAATATATAGGTACATATATCTAATAACTATGTTCTAAAAATTAGTTCTAAGTAAGTTTTGTAATTATCAGTTGTTGTAAGCCCCTGAGTTAATGCGTAGCTATGCTGGTAACACTTACGAGTAATAAAGCGAAATATTTCAGTAAAACCACAGAATAAATAATAGTACAAGAAGTAAAACGTAATCTTAGATTATTTACTTTATGAACTAACTAGCAACTAACTAGCTAACTTACAGCAGCATATTAACAGGTTCGAAAATTCTAATTTTAGAGGTCATATAGGCATAGGCATAAATTTGCCTTTTTAGTAATTTAGAGGTCATCATAATATTGCTTTTGCTAAATGCGAAGAATTAAAATAAAAACTCTTGACGGCGAATTGAAAGAGTTACTCGAATTTTAACATTGACAAACCTCACTCATTCACATGCGACTGTGAATCGACAATCGACTCGTTCGCTCACTCTTAACTCGCTGTTACGATTCGTATTATAGACTAGCTGTTCCTGTTTTTTTGCGCGGAACCCTAATTATTTTTCTACAATAAAAGTAGCCTAAGTTACTCCTTACAACATCAGCTATCTGCCTGTGAAAGTCTCGTAAAATCGGTCAAGCCATTTCGGAGATTAGCCGGAACAAACAAACGAGACAGAAAAAAAGAAAAAAATTAAAAATTGTGTTTTTGTTATAACTACCGTATACACTTTCATATGTATTTAGTAAAAAGCTGTTATTTTGATATTACAAACAGACACTTAAATTTTATTTATTTGTATAGATTCGTATTGTCACCTATCACAATCACACCATCACATGCTAACGACTCGATTAAAAATAGTTCAAGTAGGTACATAGGTATCGAGATTAAATATTTTGCAGCAATTGCGCTAGCACTTCTTATTACTTTGTGGCAGCAACCAGTGACGGCGTAAGGGGGGGGGGGGTCGCCTCAGGTGCCTAGCACCAAGGGGTGACAACGACAACTCACTCGCAAAACCAGAGGTAGGTACTTACAGAAGAATTACTCCACGAAGACATACCAATAAATAAATAGCTACATACTTTTTTTTATAGGATAAGGGTGACAAACGAGCACACAGTCCACCTGATGGTAAGTGGTTGCTGCGGCCCATAGACATCTACATCTATCCTCTATTACAAATCAAAATGCAGATGCGTCGTCACCCGCGAGTACTAAGATGGAATGCCTCTTTTCCAGTCAAATGGGTTTCCGGTTCTCTACACTCACCATACGAAACACAGCAGTGTCAAGCTGCTATTCTACGCAGGTATTCTGTGAGAGCGTGGTCCTTCCCCGGTCGAGCCGACCCATTCATTCTACAACTATACTACTAATATAGCTGCAGCATGGCTCTACCACGTACTTAGCTCAAAATTGGCAAAGGCATTAAAACCATTTGCCAAAGGAGAATTTATCAAGGAGTGTATATTAGAAGTTTGCGGTATTTTGTGTCCTGAAAAGAAAAATGAATTTGAAAAAATTAGTTCGTCAAGACGAACTGTTGTTCGACGTATATAATTTTTTTTTATTAAATGATGGCTACTGATATAAAAACAACATTGACTGACCGTATGGCTGGTTTTGAATCATTTTCCATAGCATTAGACGAGAGCACCGATTTGTCTGACACAGCTCAACTGGCTATATTTATTCGAGGTGTTGATAAGGAGTTCACTGTTACTGAGGAATTGCTTGCTTTACAGCCGCTAAAAGGAACAGTTGTGTATCGCTAGCAACGCAAAGTCGGGAATTTGTATTTGGAAAAATCCAAAATTAGGGGCTTTTTAGGTGCTAATTAGGTGCCAAGTTTAAAAATTAGGTGCTCTAAAATGTTCACCGCAACGAACTGTTGAAATTTGCGTTGCTAGCAAAACGTATCGCTGGCAACGCAATGAAGTTATTAGATATACGATAAATATTAATAGCAAGGAATTAAGTGCTAATTAGGTGCTGCAAGTATACGCAATGACAAGGCGCCCTATAAAGTCGTTATTCCAAACAAAGCAGATGCAAAATTCAGATTTTCTGAAAATCAGAATATAATCAAAAATGCTTTTAGAAAAAGCCCAAAATAAGGGCTTTTTAGGTGCTAATTAAGTACCAAGTTTAAAAATTAGGTGCTCTAAAATTTTCACCGTAACGATCGATTGAAATTTGCGTTGCTGGCAAAACGTATCGCTGGCAACGCAATGAAGTTATTAGATATACGATAAATATTAATAGCAAGGAATTAAGTGCTAATTAGGTGCTGCAAGTATACGCAATGACAAGGCGCCCTATAAAGTCGTTATTCCAAATAAAGCAGATGCAAAATTCAGATTTTCTGAAAATCAGAAAATAATCAAAAATGCTTTTAGAAAAAGCCAAAATTAGGGGCTTTTTAGGTGCTAATTAAGTACCAAGTTTAAAAATTAGGTGCTCTAAAATTTTACGCAAAGGTATCATCGGAATTTTGAATGAAAAAGCAACAGAATTAAATGTACAAAAAGATGATTTGATAGTGCTTCATTACATTATCCACCAACAGAACTTGTGTTCTAAGTCCATTCGACTCCAGAATGTTAGGAATGTGGTAGTAAAAACCATCAACTTTATTCGATCCCGAAGGCTTAACCATCGTCAGTTCAAGGCGTTTTTGGATGAAATATCAGCAGAATATAACGACGTAACATATTATTGTGAAGTCAGATGGCTGAGCAAAAGAAAAATGTTG